TTTCCCGCTTTACAGCATTATTTATATTTGTTAAAATGTGGAACGCTTCACGATTTTGTGTGTCATCCTTGCGCAGTGATGTGAGCTTTTATAGACTATTTTTTAACGTTATATTTTTTAACAAATATAAATAATGCAACATTTACGTAACAGGATATTTTGGTAGGAAAGGATTGAGAAAGGATTGTTGAGAGGATCATCTTAATGTGAGTTTATAGAATATGTGAGGAAAAATTATTAGATAGCTCGGACTGTGATTCGAACCCAGAACCTTCCGAAGACATGTCGGCTACTCGACCATTTGAGCTATCCGGTCTATATTAAATTTCCTTTCACTTATTCTATATACATTAAGCCACACCGTCCATCTTACGGCTAGCATTTATAACAAATATAAATAATGCTGTGAAGCGGGAAAGAATAGGAGTTACGGTATAATTATTACGTGAAGCGTTATTAGTATTATCCGTAGTCTTCTCCCAAAACTATCAACGTTTCATCGTAAAAAATATATTTATTACCATTTATATATAAGTATAAATTTTTCAATAATCCCTTTTGTCTCTGAGATACTTGTCGAAACATTTTCACTTATGCGCGCAATAAAGATTTTGTTTGATCAGTAAAGCGTGAAAGAAGAAATTCTTCTCAAGTAAAGAAATTTTCGTTGTATGAAGATGTATGACAAAGACTTTAAGTTTATTAGATGTACACATATGTATGTATGCATGTATAAATGTCCTCTCTCATATGCCGTTATAACAATAATAAATCCCAATGACAGCCCTCTCGTAATACGCCGAAAGTACTATACTCATGCCGTAGATATTCATACGTCATATTTAAACCCCGGACAAACGGCTTAAACAAACTTCCTGGTTATCTGGGTACCCACGATCTATGGTTTTGATATTATTATTATTATTATTATTATTATTATTACTTTTAAGTTAAATTATGGATACTTTATTCCCGACATAATTAATTGACCGGTATTTCAAAGTAATTTACCGCAATAATTCCATACTTTTTCTTTTTCTATTATCTTTATCATAAATCACAGAATTTTGTGATAAAAATATTAAGATAGTATTTTACTTTGAAATTTTACTTTTATTATAATTTTTCAACAAAAATCAGTTAAGCAATATGCAATTTTGTCGCGACAATTTTGTTATTATTGTAGGAAAATTAAAAATCCTTCTTTAGCCAGTTGCTGGTAAAATATTGAACAAAATTTAAAATATTAAAAAAGTAAAAAATATAAAATACAATTTTTTTTAGTGTATTTCAAAAATTAAAAAAATTTTTTTCGAGTGCCCACAGTAAAAAAAATACTGCTTCAATATAAGTTAATATCATAAAATGTAAGAGTTAAATTTATAAATTATTTTTATTTATTTTTTTCCTCGGATTCAACAAAAAATATGTATGTGTATCAGAGTACACAGGTAAGAAGTAAAACTTCTTTATGACACATCATTTTTCTACTATTTATAACTTCATGGAAATTGGGTAGATAAAGCTTAAGAAAAAAAATTTTTTCCATATTAAATTAAAGATATTTCAATATTATAATAATCATGCATACAGATAATAAGAGTAATTCTTTTTATCATTGCTCTTATGATAATTATTGTATTTCATCGCATTATAATTAACATTGTTGTCATTATTTAGACTATGCCATTATTTAATCTAAAAATTATTTAATCAGTTTATAAAAATTATATAAAAAACATTAATATTCAAATCTTATGTCATAACATAGTAAAAATAATTAAAAGCAGATATTTAATAACTTACACACTGTTTGATTTTTAAATTATTATTTAATTTGTTGTTTTAATTGTTTTTAGAATTAATAATAATTGCTATATTAATTCTTTACGTCGCTATACGAAGCTTCGATAGAAACAAACAACATGGCGCGTAACCGAAAATCGTGACGATTTTTTTTATATTGCTATAAAATTTCTCTCATACGTCGATAAAGAAGTTTTACTTCAATAATAATGAAACAATTATTAGTATAATAATTAACTAGTAAACGAATACACAACCAATAGGGCGTGTATTCTTTCTCGATATCCCGTATTCTCTCTCTCTCTTGTTCAATCTTTCTCACTATAGCTCTCTCCCACCTCACACTCCATAGCACTATGCGTGATACGACGTTCGCTCTGTCTCACTTTTTCTCTCAATCTTTCTCACTCGCTTGCTCCCTACTCTCACTCCACGGCTAGTTGCTCATGCTACGTTCGCCCTGTCTTACTCTCTCTCAATCGGTCTCGATCACTCTCTCTCTCTTTTCCGACACTTCCGTTGCATACCGGCGTGACGTTTCATCTGTAAAAATTTTACCCTCATGCGCCTAAAGAAGTTTCACTTCAAAAAAATTGCACGCTTCATAGCGCAAAGTGCATGAGGTTGTGCTTTATTCTTTATATTATTGAAAATAATTCGAATTTTACCATGATTAATTTTTTCTTAAACAACAAATAAATTTTCTTTTTAAGTCTGGATATAATTATAAGCAACAATTTTGAATTTTGTAATAAAAATTAATTTTTCAAACCTTAATCATACCAACATGGGGCATTTTTTCCCAAGCAAGATAACCAGTCTCTCCTTGACGATAAATTCTGCTGGCCGTTATTGTATCGACGCTCATACCGTCTCCGATGAACAAAATAACGTTTTTCGCAACATTCTTGTTCCAAGAGTACGATAATGATTCTTTGAGCTCATTAGAGGCAACACTGTTCCAATAACTCGCATCTGAAATTCGAAAAATTCAATAATTAATTTTTCTAATTTCACAATTTGTAATTTGAAAACAAAATACTGCACTTACCTTCTAATGCGGCGGACAAACAAAAATTAAAAAACAGTATTGCTAATGTTGACATTGTTAGGTAAGTGCTCATTGCATGTGTGTTTGAAAATTAACGACACGCAAGAGCCGAAGCTAACTTGTAAATAAGCGATGGCATGACAATTATTTTTTCTAGGCGAGGAATTTTTTTTTCTTTTCAATCTTTGGTGAATCGGTAATTAGAGAGATTAAGGTTTATTGTTATTTGTTTGTAATTTAGTGAAGGTTGAATTGATAAAATTGTATTGGTGGTGCCATCTAGGGAGGTTGATCTTTAATAGGATTGAAATTGCTCAATCGATAATTGTAGAGCAGAGATCATTGCACATTCTTAAAAAAATTGTTTCGAGGCTCTTACCTCTAAAGAATTATTTTTTAAAGAATTATTTAAGGTCAAAGTTAAAATTGTAGAAAATTTCAAAATTCAAAAGCTTATTTCTGAATTTTAATTTGGATAAAGTGAAATAATTTTATACAAACTTTAAATTTTAGAAACAATTTTATAAAATAATTTACAAGAGTAAAAATTCTATTTACAACTCTATTTATTAGATTTAAATATCGCTAGACTCTTTCTAATGAATTCAGGCCCGCTCCACTGACCTCTGAAATAAAAATTATTTTTTTTAATAAATCTTATCCACTAGCTTTGTTTCAAAATTCAGAAATAAATTTTTTTAATGCAAATTTTGCAGTTACAGATTCATTAAATTTTTTCGTCAACATGATAATAAAAAATAAAAATAATAATAATCATTAATATAGAAAAATTGTTGTTATTTTCCGATATGAGGTCACATACTATAAGAAAAATCTCAGGTGACAAATTTTGTTAAAAAACGTGTAAAGATAACGAAAGATAATTCGGACAGGACTCGAACCTGGATTTTTTGGTTACGCGCCAAATCACCTGAGATTTTTTTTATGGTATGAGACCTCATACCGAAAATTATTGTGTGCACGGAAAAAAGAAAACAGAAATAATTACAGTATAAAATATAAAATCGGCCCCGTCGTAATCAAAACTAAAAAAATTACAGTTCGAAATAAAATTTTTCTAAATTCAAACTTTGAATGTTAATTTTCAGAGCTTTCAATTTTTTCCGTGTAGTGAAAGAATAATAATAAAAATTAAGCATTCTTCAAAAATTTGGATCGAGTATCTAGAGTTAAAAACAACAATTTTTTTCTTTATTAATAATAAAACACCGATCTTCCAATCATATATTGAACACAATAATATATCAAACTTACTTGAGCATAAAATTCCAATAAAGAAACGGGAACATATACTTCTTCATTATAAACATCGCCCAATATTCATTTTTCTGATCAACTGGGAACGTTTCCAGCGGCTGGAGATTGTAATCAAATTCCGCAAGGATGCACTTTCCCGGTCCAGTCACCAAAGGACAAGAAGCGTAGCCATTGTACTCTAAATTGGACTTCTTGCCGTTCAAGAAGCTCAGCACATGATTGTGCACAACTTTTGACTGCGAAGCTGCTCAAAATAAATGAACCTTTTTGTTAAACAACTAGCTGACTTAAAATACTAAGCCAAGAGCGAAATCTTACCAATGGCTGCCATAGTTTTGGAATTAGGCGTTGTGGTGCAGTCTCCAAGCCCGTAAATATTTTTATACTTCACGTGCTGCAAAGTTTTAGGATCAACATTGAGGAATCCTGCTTCGTTGGTCAGCGACTGATGTTTCTTCAGAGTTTCTGGAGGCCCCATTGGAGGAGTCACATGGAGGAACGAGTACTGGAACCCAGATAAGTATTTTTTAAGCTTAGACTTTCTTTTCAGGATTTTTTTTGGTCCTTACAAGCAGAACTTTTTGGAATTTCATCATTTTTTTTTGTAATTTAGATGGAAATTGGTAAATGGATAAATTTGACCTTTAAATTTCAATATTAAGAGCTCAAATTTTGACAGGATTTTCATTTGTACACACTGTTAAAAATTTTTGTAAAATTACAATCATATTACAAAACAAATGATATGTAAAATTACAAATCAGTAAATAACACAAATAATGTAAATAATAAATAATAAGCCGTAATGCTTTATCACCACATAGGATTAGCTTATAAGTATACTAAGATGTTGAATAACCTATTGGTCGTACGGCGTAGGGCGTTAGGTATCGGTCTGGCAAGCGCTCGGCTCGGGTTCGGTTCTTAGTTAGGGTATATATTATTTTCACTTTAAATCATCTGAGTTGAACAAATTAGGTCTACCTGAGATACAAAATCTAGTCAGCGCTTCGTAACAATAAAATGACAACAGATATTAAATCAAATCTTTCTTTTTTATTGTTTCAATAAAAGTAAAATTCAATGAAAGTATTGTAATTTTACAAACTTAGCTAATCTAAAAATATTTGTAAAATTACAAAACCGTTTTGTAAAATTAGTAACCTCACTGAGCTATATATGTTTTGTAATTTTACTATACCCGCCGATTGTAATTTTAAATAAATGTTTTGCCTATTAGCTTCCAATACATTTCTTGTAAAATTACAATAGAAATTTTTAACAGTGCATCCATTGATAAGTTATTAGTCTAGTATGATGAAAAATATAAAAAATTACCTTTTGGACAATTTTAACATCAGGATTCTTCAAATCTACAAAAACAGCTTCTTTATCTCTGACTTGAACCAACGACATCTGGGTGTTCACAATGATGTTCCGACTTTTGCAAACTTCCCACAGAGCGTCTGCATACTTTTTCACGCCAAAGATCACCGGAAGTGCAGTATTATAAATAACTTCTACGTTTTTCCGTTTGTTTTCCTGTAAAATCAAAATTTACAATGGTAAATTCTTGTAGACAATTTTTTGGAATTTTTGAAAAAAATTTACCTTGCTCCAATAATCTTCAGCTAAATAAGCAATTTTTTGTGGAGCACCTGGACATTTGACCGGTGAATTTGGAAAAGTAAAGATACAAGGTCCATTAGAAGTCCTTTTGATCTTCCTGAAGACTTCCGTCACCGTTTCAGGGCCATAGATCGAGCAGACTTGTGACTCCGGATTTTTTAGACTTTCGACCAATCCAGGAATCTGCGACAAATCTTTTGTTATCAATTAGCGGCAAGATTTTTGCCGCAATTTTTAAATAAATGTTTCTAATTTTTGATTTTAGAAAAATTTATTTTAAAATTAAAGCAAAAATTGTGATTATAATTAATGAAAGTAATTTTTTGGCAGACATACTTTATCCCAGTGCAACTGAAGACCCATAGCGATGATCATCAACTGATACTCGATGGTGACTCCATTGCTGGTGGTGACTTTGTTCGCTTCGGGATCAAAAGACATCGCGCTGTCTTTGATCCACTGGGCTTTCTTCGGCAGAACTTCAGAAGTAGATTTTTTTGAGGAATCAAATTTGCTCAGCCCGCCGCCTATTAAGGTGAACAATGGCTGATAGTAATGAATCTCGCTTGGTTCTAGGACGATTATGTGGTTTGGAGGGTTGGGGTAGTTTTTCGAGAGCTTTGCTGCCATTGTACAGCCTGCGGTTCCTCCGCCGACGACTAGAATCTTACAGCTACAAAAATTGACACTATTTATTTATTTATAAATTTTATTTAAAAAGACAATCCAAAATTGCAGAGAAATAAATTGTTTAAATACGTATCTCTATAATTGAAAATTATTAAATTTATACAAAGTATTTATTTTATTTAATTTTTGGTCATGAAGCTGGTTTATTTTTTTAAAATAATCTATAACAATAATTAATTATAAAACAAGGAAACAGTTAAAAATTTCGGGTAAAAAATAAATAGTTAAAACAATTTTTAAAAATTTTTGCAACATCTTTCTGCAATTTTTAATAAAACAATAATTAAATTTGTTAATTTATTTGTATAATAGTTTATTAATTTAATAAACTACTATATTTATTTATTTATTTATTTATTTATTACGGTTACTGATTTTTGAACAAGTTTTTTTAACGCGGTCAATTAGACAGTACGTAAAATAATAAATAAATTAAAATTTAAACAAAAAGCTTATTTCTAATTATTCATTTTTATTCTAATTATTGCTAATAAAGAAATCTAATTAAAAATTATTTATTTTAAATTGTTCCAAACAGTTAATAAAAAAAAAATGTTTCCAAGGATTAAAAATCAAATGATTTTAAATAAATTCTAATTTTTTTTTTTCTAACAAAAGTTGCCTTGTAATAAATTTACATTTTTATAGTTTAAATTGTATAAGTATTATTATAAGTGTACTAAAAGTAAATAAATTACCTGTGATGAATTTCTCTTGTAAAATTAACCCGCAAAGATACTTTGCTCAATATTTTTAAGTTAATCGCCATCATTTTTATTAATTACTAATTATTGTTGCACTTTGAGCCGAAAAATATAGAAAAATTACACTAAGGATCAATTGAAATTATCTTTTTTATTTATTGATATTGATAAACATTTTAAGTGATAAAATTGTTTTATTTTTATATAAATGTCATAAGTAGTGAAAGTATGAAAGAATGGATTAAGCTAACAGAATGTTCATTTAACCTAAATTGTGTTATGTTTGGTTTGAAAAGTTATGCGCAGTATGCGCAGAACACTTAGATATCGTCATTAGTCGTACTATTATAATTTTTAAATTTTTAAATTAAATATTTAATTTGATTTATTAATTAATTATAAAATTTTTTAGCTTAAAAAATTGTTCTTAATTTTTCAATTTTTTCAGAATTTATAATTAAAAAATTAAAAAAAAAAACATTCTATATAAATTATGAAATGAATAATAAATTAAAAAACTTTTTGTAAAAATTATAAAATTAATAAAAAAACATTAAAAATGATTTTTTCTAAATTATGAAATTAATAAAAAATAAGTGTAAAAATTGTAAAACTACTAAAAAAATTTTTATTAAATTAACTATATAATAAAAAAATTAAAAATAAGATTGTAAAAATTATGAATAAAAAAATTCTATAAAAATTTTAAAAAAATTCTGTAGAAATTATAAAACCAATAAAAAAAAAAATAAATCTAATAAATAAATAAATTAATTATAATTTTAATTTTAAAATTAAATTTCCTTCAATCGATCACCCAAATATCTATTCTACCGACCAGCCATCTTTACGCGCTCGGCGTCGCTTGGAATCCCCGGCACATATGTATCCCCAAAACTCGTTTATTTGAAAACATCCTGAAGCTGATGGTGGGAGAGCTGGAATAATATGAATCGCAACGTGGGTGGCCCAAAGAGCAAAGCCGAAGAGTAAAAAGTATAGTCATAGTCATAGGGTCTTGGTATTAGCCAGTCTGGTGTGGCCCGGCGAAGCCTATACTAAAGAAATGTCTTGTAATTCAAAGAGTGTGCGTCTGTTGAGGCATCACAGCCAAAGCTAAACTTAAAACTGTGATGCTTCATTATTAATTTAAACGTTAATATTCGATACCGCTGATTCGCATTTTTGCGCTCCAACATGGAGCGCCGGAGTGATTTTTGTTCTTCCAAGGTGATAATTCATCCATCAAATTTTTATTTTTATTTTTATTTTTTTATATAAAGTAGTTAAAATAAATACTAATTTATTTCCCCCTCAGATTTTATTTTGGCTTTATTTTTCCCTGATTTGTGTCGGAGTCTTTCAAGAAACGACTGCTGACTTGCCAGGAAGCTTCGAAAAAGATGTCGACTCTCCCTGGGACCCTTACTCGACTGCCGGTGTTGAGAGGTCGGCAACTTGTGTCAAACTCAAGTACGGCAATTGCATGGGCACCAATTTGACGTATTCCATGATTTCTTTGGATTTAATTCCAGAACGCACTACTCAAGATTTAATTGAGGTACTATTTTTTTAATTTTTACAGATTTTTTTTGTCCAGAAAAAAATTTCTTGGCTCAAAAATCGTTTAAAATAAATTTTGGTATTTTGACAAAAAAATATCAATATTTATTATGATAATAAAATATTGACATTATTAGAGATGATTTTTTAGTTCTTAATAAATATTTTTTGGTATATTTAAAAAAATTTAATCTAGAATATCAGATTTATCAATTACAAACAAATCATTTAAAATATTAAAAAATATTTTTTTAATACCCAGAAAAAAAAATTTACTTGAATTAAGTAAATAATTTTATCTTTCTGATTTGAGTAGAAAAATTCTTAAACTAAGAAATTTTTCTTGGTTTAAGAATTTTTCTCTTGATTTAAGTTAATTTTTTTTTTTTTATACTAAAAAGTGGCCTCTATAATAAATGATTTGTTAACTATTAACAAATATTTTTTGGTAGAAATAAATAATTTTAGCAGTGTAGTACTTTTTTTTTTCAGTGTAGGTAGTCGGAAAGTCGAAAAATTGAAAGTTTTTTCAGATGAGGAAATATAAATTAGATCCTATTTTTACTGCAGAGACATTCCAGTAACTTTATACCTGCCAGTTATCAAAAATGTTTGTGTGTAGGGTATAGATTTAAGAATTCTTAGTACAGTCGGATTATTGCTAGTTACAGTGTCGAAAGTTATTTAAACAAGTTTTTTATTTTGATATTTTTAATTGAAGTAAAAAAATTATTTTTTAAAAATTTTATAATTTAATATTTTTTTTTTAGCTGGGAAGAAAAAATTATTTTTAATAATATTTCAAAATTCTTTAGATAAGACTTCATAAATTTAATTAATTAATTAAATAATTATTTAAAAATTCTATTTATTTGAATTTTTTTTTTTTATTCACTAAAGAGTCACTTAAATTATTGCAATTAAAAAATAAAAAAAAATTTTTTTTTTGATAAAATTTAAAAATCTTTCCTAAAAAAATTAATCAGATATATTTAAAAATTCAATTTATTTTTTCTTTATTCCTGTAAATTTTTTTTTTTTAAGAAAAAGTTACTTTAAAAATTCGCAAAATATAATTTTTCATAAAAAAAATTTTATTTCTTATAAAAATTTTCTTCTGACAAAAATTCATTAAAAAATTTTTTTTTTTGATAAAATTTTAAATAATTAAAAAATTCAAATTTTCTCTATAAAATTTTTTTTACTTAAAAATTCTTAAAAAAAATATTTTTCTTCAATAAAAATTTTAAAAATTTCTTTAATAAAAAAAAATAAGATACTTTTACTAAAAAAAAATATTTTCAGGACCGACTTCGACTCTTACAAAGCCTTAGACACATCCCAAGATGCTGGGCAGTGGTCCAACCCCTGTTGTGCTCGGTATTCAAGCCTAAATGCAACAACAATACGATAGAGCTGCCCTCGCAGGAGTTTTGCAAGAAAATCCTGAGCCCGTGTCGAATTCTCTTCAACCACACCATCTGGCCCAGCTTCATAAAATGCGACAACCCGAAGCTATTTCCCAAAGAAGGCAAAGACTTTTCAAGATTCCTGCCGTTCAACATTTCAGGAAAGTGCTTCAAGCCTCTAATCGCGACTGACAACCCGCTGACGACCTTCGAGGGGATAGAAGGATGCGGGATTCCCTGCAATGATCCACTTTACACAGCTGACGAGCATGACCAGATCCATTCGTTCATCAGGTGGGGTGCTACCATTTGCATGGTGTCCAACCTCTTCACCATTTGCACTTTCTTGATCGATTGGCGAGGCGCTAACAAGTATCCAGCCTTGGTTATTTTTTACATCAATTGCTGCTTTTTGGTCAACTGCTTTGGATGGATGCTACAGTTTACTTTGGTCACCAGGGAGTCCATTGTTTGTCAGAAGGATGGAACACTTCGAACACAAGAACCAAGGTATCGTATTATGAGAATTTGAACAGAAGCCAAAAGACCGTAAAGGAATTTTTTTTTGATAAATATATTCTAAACTCGTGAAAAAAAAAAATTTGGAAGCCAAAAGAACAGGTGTTTTAAATTAGAAGCATTTTTTGCTTTAAGAACTCCAAAATTTTGAAATATTAAGCCGAAAGAGTGTAAAAAATTATTTTGCCAATTTTTGCTAATTTTTAACACTTTAAAATTCTACGATTGTGCAGAAAATAATATTGTCATTGAACTTTTGAACGTTTACATTCACACAAACAGAGTTTATGATGCTATTTACGTTTATAAATTATTTATACAATAATTTGGACATCAAATGTCCAAAAACGTCACTTCTATCCTGTTTTAGGCTTAAAATTGGAAAAAAAAAAATTTTGTAAGCCAAAAGAATGTATGTTTCAAATTAGAAGCTCTTTTGGCTTTAGGAACTCCAAAATTTTGAAATATAAAGCCGACAGAGTGTAAAAAATTATTTTGCCAATTTTTGATAATATAAGATAGAACAAATATAGTTTTGGATACTTTGAAATTCAATGATTGTGCAGAAAATAATATTTTCATTGAATTTTCGAACGTTTATCTTCATAAAAAAATAATTTATAATGCTATTACGTTTATAAATTATTTGTACAATAATTTGGACACCAAATCTCCAAAAACGGCACTTCTAGGGTAGAAGTACCGATTTTGGCGACCTTAGCACCGTTTTTGGCCAGTTAACATTCGAATTAATTTGTAAACAATTTATTCTAAGCTTAAAATTGAAAAATAAAAAGAACATTTTGTAAACCAAAAGGGGACGTCTTAAATTTGACCCTCCTTTGGCTTTAGGAACTTCAAAATTTTGTGATCTAAAACCAAGAAGGTGTAGAAAATTTTTTCGCCAGAAAAAAACAGTTTTTGAAAAGCCTATAAGGCGGATGTTTAAAAATGTACTTTTTGGTTTTAAAAATTTGAAAATTTACTGATCTTTATTATTCGTGCTTTTTATCGAAGTCTTAAAACAGTACATACATTTTTTTCTACACCTTTTTGGCTTTAGTAATTCAAACAATTTTGAGTTAAGTATCAAAAAAATTTTTGTATCCACCCTTTCCTATATTTATCTCTTCATATTTGGTTAATTTCCTTCTAGTGGCGACACCTGGTTATGCGTGATAGTCTTCGTCTTGATCTACTACTCATCAATGGCAATAATGGTGTGGTTCGTAATATTTTCCTACGCTTGGTACATAAGGTTCAAGGTTACAAACGGCTCAATTCAGGAAAAGGTTACAAAGAAAAGCACTTACTTCCACATGTTCGCCTGGTCTGTTCCATTATTCCTCACTCTGACGGTGATCACTCGCGCAGAAGTAGATGGCAACAGTGTCACAGGAATTTGCTTTGTTGGGTACACTAATCCCATTGCTCGAAGCATATTTGTTCTGGGTCCGATTATGGTCGGAATTATAATTGGTGGATACTTTTTATCTAGAGGTTAGTTTCAATTGCAATAATTTCCATCCGTAAAAAAATTTTCTAAAGTGGTCTAAGATATTTATGTGACATTCAAATTCTTACTAAAGAAGCAAATCTTTTCTTGCAGGCCTTATAAAACTAATCAGTTTGAAAATACAAAGCCAAAATCTTGTATCAGAACGAGCTTATGCCAAAATCCGTGATATTTCTTTCAGAATGGTTTTCTTTTCATTGCTAACATTCTTCGTTGTAATTATCACAATGTACTGCCATATTTACGAATTCTACAATTCTTATCAATGGCGTCAAAGTTTTCGTGATTATATCATGTAAGTATTTTTTTTTTTTTTTGTAATTTAGAAAGCTTAGCTTGACTCAAGACAAAAATTCTTGAACCAAGACTACTACAAGAAAAGCAATAAATTTCTTGGGACAAATATTAAAACAATTTATTAAATAAAAAAAATCATTTGAAAGATGCGCAATCACAACCAAATATGACGAAGGCTCGAACTGCAAGATATCATCCCGACCTAGTGTTACTAAACTTCAGCTACACTTGCTAGCACCTTTTGTTGCTGGTATTCTGATGTCTCTCTGGGTCTGGAACAGTTCAACATTCGAAACTTGGAAGAGGTTCTTCCGACGGTAAGTAATTTTTTTCATCAACCAATTTCCTTCAAATTTAGATCTTTACCATTTTTCACTTTTTAGAAGGTTCAACCCTGACCCAGACGAGCCAGTGAAATTAAAGAAGCACAAAGTGATAGCTCAAGCCTTTGCAAAGCGCAAAACCTTCAACACCTCCGGACGTTTTTCAATAAGCTTCCACAATTCTCACGATCCCGTAGGACTAAACTTCGACCTAAACTCAGTGGCTTCACAAGACTTCAGCTCGACCTGGGCCGCAGCTTTACCGAAGTTTGTCACACGAAGAGACGCATTGATAGTCGGTAATGGTGGTTCCATGTCTAGCTACCGCAGAAACTCAGTAGACTCCGAAGTGAGCTACAGCGTGCAAAGAGTTTCCGTTCACTCTCGCCGGAATTCTTTGGACTCGCAAATTTCGGTCCAAATTGCGGAAGTCAAGGCTTGCCGCAAGAGAGGCTCCTCCGTGCCAAGAACCAAGCGGAGCAAGCAGAAGAAGTTCACCAAGTCTAGTTCTAGAGTCGGGCCGTTGTTCCGTCGCGGCAGCACCACTTCTCAGGAAAGCCACCATGCCCAAATTTTATCCGCGTTAGCGGCTTATGGATCTTCACAGATTCCGAATATGAAGAGACGCTCTGCTATGGCTGACCTGGACGACAGTATTACTAACTCTAAGGTTCTGTACAACAAGAACGCCCAGATTCTGCTGCCGCTATTTTTCGGGGACCAAAGCGAGAGCGACAACTCCAGTGTTGACAAATCTAAAACTCTGGAGAGCAAGAGCAAGGCTGATGATAAAGACGAGCGTGATAGCGAGACCGAAGACAGTGAACCTGATGAAGAGACCAAGATGCTGAATTGTGAAGAGGATTGCGAAAGGAGCAGAAGCAGTAGAAGTGGGAAGGGAAGAGAGGCAGAAAAGAGCAAGTTTTGTATTCAGAATGAAGTTGCCACCAAACACTTTTCCCAAGAGTTGGATAAATTTGAAGCTAAGAAGCATAAGGAGAAGGAAGATAAAGATGTACTTAAGAATTCTAATGGAAGTGATTCTGACTCCAGTCCGGAAATTACGAGGAGTATTCAATCAGATACTCAGGGAACTGCACGCGAAATGGCGACTCAGACGTCCCTTCCACTTGATGTCCTTGAAATGGAGGAATTGAAGCAGAGCATTGATGAGATTATTAATAGTAGGAATAGTAGCTCTAAAGCTACACAGATGTCGCCGCAACTTAGGTAGTTAGATAGAAATTAAACTTACCGACAATCTTGACGTCAAATTGCAGTGTAACTTGTAGAAAACTTAAGTAAAAACGTTTGGTTTGCAACTTTTTTCATCAAGTTGGCTACAAATTTCGGCAGTAGATTTGAATAAATAAGTTAAGGTGGCTCGGCTATCAGGGTTATACTATAAGTTCTTGTAGATAACGTTAGCGACAAGTTATCGTTAAGTTAACCTAACCTCGAGTTTACGAATGCCCATCCTTATATGCAATTTGACAATAAGATAGTGCCGATATTTAAAAACAAGTTATTTATAAACTTGAATAGAAAATTTCGGCAACTTAATAACAATTGTTTCAATACAACTCGTTGAAGTAAAGTTGACCATAACTTGTAGATTAACACTTATTGCCAACCTACTTTTCGTCTATCTATAATTTGCGGCACTAGGTTATCTAAAAGTTATAGTATGAGGTGGCTATCAGGATTGGTGACAAGTTACTCTGATAGTCTCAATTTTTTGCTAGAACATCCACCCTGATAGCCAGCAAGTCTTGAAAATGAACTGGGTTAGTGTTAAGTTGTTAACAAAAACTGCTTTTGAAACTTTTTCACATCAAATTGACGACAAGTTTCTCAAGAAATTCGTCGACATATTGCAGCAGTAAATTGGTCTTCTTATTCTCAGAAATTTGTAGCCAATTTGATGCCAACAGTTAAAAATTCGGAACTTGACCGCAAGTTATCACTAAGTTGGTGGTAATGGTGACACGACAAAATCTCCCCGGAAAAAATCTCCCCGACAAAATCTAATTTTAAATAATAATATTATTATTTCTGACAGTTGTGATGGTATTTTTCGTGTAAATATACACAAAAAATCATGATAAAAGGGCACAACGAGATTTTGAAGCGTATTTTGTCGGGGAGATTTTGTCGTGGAACCGGTGGTAATTATCTGACACCATCACTTTGTTGGTCTGAAACTCTGGCTATCAGGGAATTTGATGAAAATCTACGGTTAGAATTGTAATGGAAGTTACCATCAATTTTTTTACTGCAACTTTATAGTAAGAACTTGCAGAATTAAATCTTGACGTCAAATTGCAGACCAACAACTGCTTTTCCAATTCTTAACAAAGTTGATGGACGAATTCGGTCGCAGATCAACGGCAATTTAGCATAAATTTATTAAGAAGCTTGTTGTCAATTTGATAGGAAGTTCTTAATTACAATTTGATCAACAAGATAGCGTCAATTGATTTCTTTTTCAAGATTTAAGACCAAATTGGCTATCAGGGGGTTTCACTGTGATATTCGGAGTTATCAATTGTTTTAGTAGACCATGGTTATGGTCACTTGAGTTAATTTTCTCAACGCAAGAGGGGGCGGATATTGCAGAAAAAATTAATCGAGAATTGTAGATGTGGATGAAAATAAATTTTAAGAATGTTTCTTAACAATAATTAGTGCCTTGTTTGTATGATAGGAAGAATTTAAAGAATGTTTGTCTAATGAATCAATTTTTTATACAGACTGATATTTTGTCTCATATTTTTTTACTTTTGTAAATATTTTATGAGCTATTATTTTTTATGTAACTTTGTAATGATTAAGAGAATCTAAAGTTAGTTTTTAGATATTCATAATTTTTTAAATAAATATTATAAGATTATAGTGATAAAATTTTATATTTTTTTTATCAATATACTTTTTCCTCTCTACAATATTAATTTTAACGTTTTTTACCCGGGCCATATGGATTATTGGCTGCTTCTTCTGCAATTCCACTTTTTGCATCTAATACAGAAATATAACCTCGACCCATTCCCATATCTAACCCAGCCGAACGTTTGCTGAAAAATTTTTAACACCAAAAGAATAATTATATATTTTTCTTCAGTTTAGAATAACATTTAATGCATTTCTTAATTTTTTTTTTACACTTTGAAATATATGTCATTATAAATACCTCCGTGTTGAAGATTCTAAGCTGTTCGGAACTAATTCTATGTTCGAGCTTTCTGCACCATCATCAGCTTCGAATTCAAGGCTAAATTATTATTTATTAATCAAAAGAATTATTAACTTTCTTTTAAAAAAAATTACTCTTCAAGAGAAAAAAAATTGCCGATAAAAAATGAAAAACTTACCATGGCTTCGATTCAGCGGAACCAAAAATCGCCATCGTAATTACTATTAAAAAAAGTAACCAAGTTATTCCCGATTTCTTCATTTTTGTTTTTTTAATTTTATTTATTTATTCCGAACTAAGTAAAATTTTTTAACTGTTGAATATTTATTCGCGAGTAGTTTTTATACGTTTTGCAAAATGGCCTGCAATTCTGCGGTTATCATTATTGCGAAGCAAACAACGAATTGTTCGTTCAGATTTCTCACTTTTAAGAGTCATCAATTCTTGTATGAAATTGTGATAATTGATTTTTCAATTTTTTATTTAAAAATTTATTTTAATTATTTTTTATTAAATTTTACTTAGCTTGATACATTTTTTTGGTAACATTTTATAAAATTAGAAAAAAAATTTTTTAGATAATAAAAATAGGACAGAAAATTATTATGAAGCGTAAATAAAAAATTCAATTAATCAAAAATTAAAAAAAATGGTAATTTTTGTTGGAAAATTATTTCAAAAAAAAAAATCAATGAAAATTTTCTGATAACTGTCTAGTGAAACGATAAATTTTAATCTAAAAAGCGTTAAAAAATTAATAGCGGTTTAAAAAATTTTTTCAAGGTAAGGTTAGTATGCGATGATGAAAAAAAATGTTTTTACAGTTGAATAATAATTTTTTGTTAAAAATTAGACTCTAAGCAATTTTAAGATTTATGATTTTCATGAAAATATATAAAGAAAAAAATAAACATTTAAATATACCCGACAAAAGAATTGTTTAATATTTTTTAAGGTAATGTATCTGGACCTCATAATTTATTTCTTCACCTGTTCACAATAAATCGATTCGTTGGTTGCACTAAATGAAAATACCTGGCGGTCAAGTTTGTAATGTATGATATTATTTGCTTATCGATGGAAGATTAGAGGAACGAAAGAGCTAGAGCACAGCTCCCAAGGAACTTTCGGTCGATACAGCACTAGGAGTTCTAATAGAGGCCCTGGTCTGTTTTATGGAAGCAATAAAACTACCTTTTTCTAGAACCAAATAATGGCTGGCCTAGTTGACGTGTCCTTTCCAGGAAGCTCCGCACTGACTTTAACGATGTTTAACCACATTGTAAGCTGCAGTTGTCATGGACAACAATTCAAAACAAAGTCATACATTTTGCGAAGCATTTAGTCGGCAACTTAACTTCAAACTGCTCAGTCGCTAGCTCGTCAGACGAATCGTCGTTACTTTTCAAATACTTCAAAAACCTTTAGAGTCTCAAAACATTTCTGATCTTTAATTCTGCAGGACTCATTTTCTAAATTAATCATCAACAGATTAACGATGCAACTGATTAAAATCATTTTATGCTGCTGTTGCGTATTTACTGGTCACTTTTCAAATGGAAGCAGCATTAACAGTTCAGAAATCAAATCACACCTTATCAATCATACGGTAAGTTGATTATTTTGCACGCCTTGAGCTCAAGCGTGACCAAACTTTTTTTTTAAATTTAAATAATCGTTAATCGTTGTTACAATCACTTATTTTTCTTGCAGATGGAATTGATTGATAGAGATTTTGCAAATAATTCTAACCCACTGATAATATTTTCTGACTTGGTTGATGACCAAGTGGCAAGCAGGAGTATTGATAATGGAAGTCCGCTGATTGTCATCATAAATCATGATCTCAGACGGAAACAAATCGAAGGATATCTTCTCAGCTATCCTACGTACATCCTCAGATTTGAATCTATGCAGAAACTGGTACCACTTATCTTTGGATTCATGGGCTCAACAATCTGGAATATAAAGTCGCCAATTTTCATTCTTGACATTTCTGAAGGGACGCATGATGAAAACGCTTCTATGGTTCTTGCTTTCCTTGGAAGTCTCGATATATTGGTATCATACTATGTGGGTTATGATGACAACAAAGATTCAACTATGGTCTACACTCGGAACCCTTTCACACAATACGCTCCGCCACCTTGGAATCAAGTTATAATTGCAAATGCCAAAAGCAATAGCAAAACAAAGTCGGCACTATATAGTCTGCAATATCCGAAAGGTAATTAATCCTCAAGTTTAATAATATCAATTACGACGCAATTGTATAAGCTAAATTGTTTCTCTAATTTGATTTACAGATTTGAAGAGCAACTATAAAAATATTTATTTTGATAAAACGCAGCAATTAGGTGGCCATGAAATAAAATTAATGGTCCCTATCATTGAAAAAAATTTATCTGTTGAGTACAATCAGAAGAACATTATTGAGTACATGGAATATATTAAAAAGCACAAAGACAACAATTTGAATTAATTACCTGATTATATGAAAGTAACAGTATCAATTCAAATCCTCGAAAACGAGCTAGATTCAAAAGAATTTAAATACGGTTATGATGAAAAACTTTTCAATAGTCACTATGATGCGAGAAACGTTAGGAACCAATTAGCTGATACAAATTTTAAATTAACTAATTTTGTGACACATTATCATGAATCACAATATTCAATTCTGACAATGAAAACAGATTATTTAAGGGCATTCACTGAAATCGAAATAAATCATCAGTTCATATTCATCACACTCTTTGTTTTGTTCTTAATTGCAGTAATCATAATCGTGAACAATAAATATAACGTGAGCGAAGGAATCATGGACATTGTAAGCATGTCACTGAGCATGGGGATAATATCGCCAATGGGACGTCTCTCAATGAGGATCATTTATTTCTTCGGATTTTTATTCATTTTTGTGGTGATGCCTGAATTCCAAGGAGAAATTTCGGCCATTCTATCACAACCTGCGAGACGCAATGTCGAAACCCTAAAGGACTTATTCGACAACAAGTATCATGTGTTTTACGATGGGATATTGAGAAAAGATATGATTAATGCAAAATTGTGGGTGACCGAAGAGGACCAGAAATACTTACATCTATCTTCTCATGCTGGGATCGATAAATGTACGATAGAAGCCCAACGAAATTCAAGTATTGCTTGCATCAGCAAAACTACCGAACAACTACTAAACCTTTTGAACCTCAAAAATCTCTATGTATCAAAAGAAATCACGTTCAAGAAATATTTTGTGTATTGGACTAAGAAGAATTGGGCGCTGAAGGAAAAAATTGATAGGAAGGAAACTCCGTTCGATACCGGTGGAAACAGGATTAACTTACCATCACGATGAAGAAATAACGGAAAACTTACGGAAAAAGATAGAGAAGATGGAGAAAATCAAAGAAGCTGAAAACTACGAACGGATCGACTTCGATAACTTGGTGTTTCATTTCATTGTGTTTGTGGCTTCATTGCTGTAGGGTTTGGTCATTTTTGGAATTGAGCTTATTGTTCACCACTATCACTCTAAACATCAAAGACGGGAAAAGGAGCGACGACAGTTTATTGAAAGATTGAGAGCACAACCACGGATTATTTTATCCCCTGGTTGTATTGTTCTGTCAAACACTCGCGAGTGATTCAAATAAAGGAAAAGTCAACTATTTTATCAGCAGATGAGTTTTATTCAATTTTATTATCGATTATTGTGATTGATCTGTGAGTATTTTTGTCTTTACCGTGTAATTTTATAATTTTTACACAGAATTAACAGTTTTCTTCTCCCGAGAGATTTTCTTTTACTCAAAAGTTGACCATAAAATTATTTTTAATTGAAATGTAATTGATGTGTTACATTTTATTGAAATGACTTCGAGTTTACAAGATTTAATGTGTAAAGCGTGTGAATTAATTAGTGTTTTAAATCAAATCTTACTGTATGCTATTTTGTGGTATTAAAGAAATCAATTGCAAAATATTATTGCATACTTATTTTAAAATATTTAAATTATTTTGAAAATTTTTCTTTATAAGTTTTGAAGTAAAGTATATAGCCTCACTATTTCTTTTTTTTTTTTTTTTTTTTGATTAAAGATTAAATCATAATAAAATAAAAACCACTAGATCAACATTAATCAATTTATTAAATAAGATACAAATTTACAATAATTATATACATTTAATAATTAATTACTCAATAATAAAAACACGGGTTAATAAAATAGTTAAAAAAATATATATTACATCATTGAACACAATCGCTAAGTTAATTACTCACTATATTAATTAGTAATACCATTAATTTATTCATTATCATAAACATAATTAAAAATCAAACGCATTCGAGGAAAATCTTCTTGAAATCCGGCGCGGAGCCCCCGATGTGTCTAAGAGTAGCGTCGCTCACGCTATCATGGTGAATCTCGGACCTTTTGAGGGTGCCTTTGAGACTAGCATTGCCGAGCTTTTCTTGGGACTTCTCCTCGGGGAAGAGCTTGTCCAAGTCGTTCATTGAGTAACCGGGGGAGATTTTCTTTAAATGGTACGACTGGATCGTCGGTTTCGTGTTTACGATAAGTTTTACGCTCTTTTTATTCGACGAATTTTTATTATTACTATTACTAATATTAAGATTGTGCTTATTATTATTATTATTCGCAAGAGGGTTCACTTTGTTAATAGATGCGGTGTTCTCGATGATCCAGGTGTCGTCGATGATCTTTGGTGTGAATGATCTCATGTTAATTTTGTCGGGTAATTTTTTCGGTGAGAAAATTTCGGTCTGAAAATAAAATTATAAATTAATCTTTTAGAAAATTTTATAGAATTTCTACTTAAGTTTTTAATTAAATAAATTATAGTGAAAGCAAAAGAGAATTTTAAAAAGTAGGAAGTTATTTTGGTAAGATTTTGAGAATAAGAGTTTTAATCAGATTTCCAAGTTTTGAGGTCCTAGGAAGTAGTTCCGACTTTTCCCGGCTGGACGTCCGGCCGTGTGTGTGTGTATGTATATAAATAAAATTTTGTCGTAGAATATCTTTAGAACGAATCAACCGATCGAGATGAGCGACACGGCGTTCGAAAGTATTCATTGAGACTTCGATCTGATTTGATTTTAAAGTAAATCGTACTTTGCCCGAGAAAAAGATATGAAAAACAAATAAAAACCAAAAAAACAATTTTTTTTAAGTTTTTTCTAAATAACTTTCAAAATATTTGACTAATCAACTCCAGACATCAGAGACACTTTTTTGGACTTAAAAGACTAAGTCGAATGCCGCCAAGCAAGTCAAAATCGAACGACAAGTTCAAAAATTCTAGCCATTTAAAAATTTCTAAATACTCGTTTTTTTGAGATAACTTTTAAATTCTTCGATCGATCGACTCAAGAGCTTATAAACAATTTTTGTACTTAAAAAATTGCGTCGAACGCCCCAAAGCAAATCAAAATTGACCGACGCGTTCAAAAGTTATAGTCAAAAATTTCTGAATAATAATTTTTTAACTTCCCGCTAAGAAAATCAGAGATTTTCAAAAATCAGGAAGTTATTGGTTTTACCCCGTTTTGCAAAAATCGAGTTTTCATCAGATCTCGACGTTTTAAGGTCACAGGAAGCTGTGCCCGAGAAGAAGATATGGAAAACAAATAAAAACCAAAAAACAATTTTTTTTAAGTTTTTTCTAAATAACTTTCATAATATTTGACTAATCAACTCCAGACATCAGAGACACTTTTTTGGACTTAAAAGACTAAGTCAAATGCCGCCAAGCAAGTCAAATTCGAACAAGTTCAAAAATTATAGCCATTCAAAAATTTCTAAATACCCGTTTTTTTGAGATAACTTTTGAATTCTTCGATCGATCGACTCAAGAGCTTATGAATAATTTTTGTACTTAAAAAATTGCGTCGAACACCCCGAAGCAAATCAAAATTGGACGCGTTCAGGAGTTATAGCCAAAAATTTCTAAATAATCGTATTTTTGTTACAACTGTGGGATTTTTTAGCTCGAAGAGCTAAAAAATCAACCTGTTAGAATCTTACCTTGGTCCCTTTCCTTTGAAAGAACTCAAAGTCATCATTAGCCACAGTAGTAACCGAACAGCAGCTCCTACTGCGACTTTTACATGAACTAAGAGTGTCATCAAAGTTCTCGTTATCAAAATCGCAGCTTCCGTCATCAGAACTATCAAACCCGTCCTCTTCATAGTCCTTCCTCATAAGATCCATCTGCCTGTCCTTCCGAATGAGGTCCTTGATGTCATAAGTCCTCGAATCCAGACCCACGCGCAGGTACTTTGACTGATCAAAACTTTGATTGCGTCTCACCAGATTCCGGGTGAATTCCTGCTCGTCCTTCCTGGTCTGAATCTTGAGGTCCTTGTCCTTCTTAGGAACCTCCTCGCGGATTTCATCAAGACTCCTGGCGAACTGCTTCCTTTTGGGGTCTTCCAGCTGGACCAGGTTCTCCATGTTCTGCCCAAAGACATCGGTGCTGCCGATCTTCCTTTTGGTTCCAAATTCAAAGTTCTCGTTCATTTTTATCAGTCGTTGCGTCGACTGGGTGTCAATTGAGTTGGTCTTCGAGTCTTTGTGCTGACGAGGCTCGAATGTGGAACTCGTGAACGACGTCAGTTCCGCAGGCAGTGAACCGTAGGTGTCGTCTGTTAAGGATTGGGCGCGCGGGTAGTGCTGGATGCCCATTGTTATTGTTCCAGTTCGTGCTGAAAAATGCAAGTTAATTTTTTTAATTAGTATCCTGCAATTTCTTGTGCAATGTAACCTCAAAAGTTGATGAATTATTGATTGGTACCTCGGTTTTGATGATTATGAAGCCTGCCGTAAAGGCTGCCATTGGTAAGCGGGAATTTCAAACCATGGTTTAGGTTAAGTTGTAATTTGTACTCAGCGTCTTGTTCAAAATGACGAAATTTACCATCTACGCCACCTTAGGACAGAATTTTATGAAATATTTTCTAGGTATTTATTGGGATTAGTTGAAGCTATCCCCACTCTTATTGTGCGCGCGCATAAAAACGGTTTTATTGAAATAACAGAAGACGGAATAACTTGTTATAACCTAAATTTTATTATTTTAACATATAATTTGTTATCCCTATGTTATCAAATTCATTTGTTACCACAACATATCTTAGATTATCTTAACAAAATTTTTTTCTGCGCGCGCGTAATCCGGCTGAGGCTATCAAGGCTATCCCCACTCTTGTTGCGCGCGCAACTGACTATAGAATCCTTTATTATACTATACTATAGTATCTTACTGACTGGTCATATGCTATAGGGTCTTACAACAACTCGCATAGAAAAATATGCAAAAGATCCAAATTAGACATTTCTTTATTTAAAAAAAAATATATTGTAATTTTTAAGTCGCCTCATATCTAAATAAAAAAGATTTTAGTAAAAATCTTGCACCAAGAAAATTATTTTAAAGAAATTTTTTGTCATGAAAAATTCTTGAGTCAAGAAATTTGTTTTTGATTTAAGTAAATTTTATTTGTCTAAAAAATTTTTTGCTTTCATTAAAGATCAATGTCTTTAAAATGAATTTTTTGCAAGTTTAGATTTTATATGTCACATCCGTGGATACCGCATGTATATTTTCCCATGCGGAAAGTTGCGCGCGCAACAACAACAACACCAACAACAACAGTATAGATAACCTCTAATAATATTAAAATAAAAGTTTTAGGTTTATTACTCACAGTGAGCTAATTTTCGCATATTATCTTGCTTGGTGTAAACTTTAGCGACGTATCGGCAGAACATTTTGTCGAATATCGCGAGAAATACTGGCAGTAATGTGTCTTTTATCAACGGCAGCCATATTGCGATGTTTTGAGGAGTGCAAAAGCCGTTTAGTAACTCAGGCCTTATTGAAATCACCTGAAAATTCAGAAAAAAATATTTTAACTTTTATTCTTTGTATTTTTTGAGATCAAAATTATTTATATACATTTTTTCATAAAATAATTGTAATTCTTTTCCATTTAACTTAAACAGTATATAAGCCTTGTTTCTATTTCTTTTGAAATAAAAATAGAACTGTTAATTAGAAAAAGAAATAAACAAATGTATATTTATTTGCTCATCAAAATAGTTAGATATATGAGTCTTACGTCGTATAAAACTTTCGATTTTACGTGATTCGGTGAAAACAAACGGTCGCGCTTTCAGGAGTTCGTGTATTGTTATAATATATATCGTTATCTTATTTAATATATATTGCATTTTATATTTTATATAGAATATATGGTCTTTATTTTATTTATTTGTTTCACGTAGGCTATTACAATCACTAAATAACAAATTATTATTATTAGCCTTAAAAATAAGCGAAATAATAATAATAAGTTATTGTTAATATTACAAATTTTTTCAATTCATTATTATTATTATTATTATTAAAATTTTAAAGGTTGAATAATAATAATAATAATAATTTTTAATTAACAATAATTAAAATTTATTGAAAGCTCCAAAAAAAATTCTACTTCCTAAAAAAAATCGTAATTGCGTCAAAATAAATTCACGAAACCATTAAAATTTAAAAGTTATTTAATAATAGAGTTCATAATTGTATTGAGGATTTTCAAACGACTGCACATGCCGGATTCTAGGTTGGTTGAACTCTGGGTGTGACATCCGGAAATTCACTCAAATATTAAAAATATTTTGCAATTATACTTTGCGTTATCAAAAAAATCTGCACCAAGAAACTATTAAAATTCATTTAAAGCAAGTAACAACAGTAAATAAATAACTCAATTAAATAATTAGCAAGATTCAGAATTTCCGAGTCAGTGAAAGTCACAATAACATATTTTAAAATAATTATAATTATTAATGGTAATTTTTAAGTATTAGTGTTATTATTATAAATTACAAAAGTTCAAGTTTTAAGAGTTAATGTTAATTATTTATGTGTTTAGAGCAGTAATTGAAAATTTTGAAATAATATATATAATATAATAAGAGGAGAAATTTTAACGTTTCACTCGCATGCTCGAGTACCTTTCTATTCATATCTTGTGACAAGTGCTATTGTTATTATTCCCGTTGTTAATCATAACGCGCTCCCTCTTGTTATTTTTATTACTATTATAATTATTTATTATTATAATTATTGTTGTCCTCATTTGACGGTACAAATACGACAGTCAATTGCATAAGTTTGGGACAATAATTAATGTTTAACAAGTCAACACATGTTAAATCTATTAGAGTATTTACATGCTCACTTATTCAATTTTCATTTCTAAATTTTTTTTTTGACTCTTTAAATTTATTTTAAAGAGTCAATTTTTATGTCAAACTCGATTAAATATTATTTTTTTATTTATTTAACCTGCGTAAATATTTTTTTAAAATTTTAACGATAAAGATTGTAATATAATAAGAATTTTCTATTTATCTTATGACTGTTTTAAAAGTAGGTAAATTTTCACCGGCATAATTTCACTCATAGCAAGAACGATTAATCTTACGCTAATACACCATCAGCTCATGGTTTAAGCTTACGGCAAAGTGAATGTTTGTTCTATCTTGTATAATGTGTGTGTATTTATTTACAATGTTTTAATATTTTTATTACAACGCTTTATTTCACTTACGTTCTGTGAAACTATCAAAATAATTATTATTTTAATTACTCACACGCATTAAATTATAATAATAATAATAATAATAATAATAATAATAATAATGAAAATAGCAGTATT